ATATGAGAGTACTGATGGAAAAAAGTTCCGCGACATGTCAGTTAATGGCCCAGACCTAAAAACTTCAGCATCCAGTTACTACTCAAAAATGTTTGGCGAGGATTCCGTCGGTCAAAAGGGGATCGACTTCTAGCGTTGCATTGGCTCGCAAATCCAAATGAGCGAGCAAATCGCTAGGTTCAGGCGTCAAAATGCTATAAGGGGATCTAAATATGGTTAAATGTTAATCAAGTACGTAGAAAAACGTGTAAGTGGTAAGTTAAACTAAAATTAATTTAGCTAGGGGAAGCAGTCCAAAATGAGATAGAATAAAAGCCCTTCCAGCTGCAGCAACCCCACATTAACCTGCATCCAAATCCGGCCTCAAAAGATATTTTCAAAATGGCGCTCAAAGGTCAAGGGCGTCCAGGACGTTGTCCAAAGCGTTCAAAGTATAAGATAAGGACAAATGGCAGCCTCAATTTGGGTCAACTAAAAGAGGCTCACACAAGTCCAAGAGATGCATTAGACACCGTTTTTCTCAGTTATTATTGAATGGTTGGGATCCTGGCATGCGTTAGAGTTCTGAGACAGATATGTTTAAGTTATGCTGTGGTCATGTAAACAACGGCAATTATAACGAAGCAACTGGTGAAATGCGGCCATATTTGAGCCAATTTTCTGAGATTTAGGCAGGACTAGGATTGACTGGGCGTAATTGTTGCGCTCACCGTCGTCGGTGTTGACGATTACCTACATGTATGTCGCTTTAAGGCCAAATGGCAGGAATGACCATCACCGGTTAAATGCATGCGACCCAAGCCCTTGGCCTTCAACGCCGTATCACTAATTCATATTTCTACTTTCATTGACTGGCCGCAGCCGAATTTAGTTCAGGTGCCCAGACTTCGGCTGACACTTGCATGGGGAAAACGGTTGGTGCGAAAATATGCGGTGCTGCCTTTACGCTGACTGTATCAATATATGCTGGTTCGTCTTCCTGTTTTCCTCGCCCTCCGATTTTGTAATCCTTAAGTTGCTGGCCATTTGCTTTGACAAGTGAGAACCTCTTTTAACATCAGACTTTCCTTCGTAGTCTGCGAAATATTCGGGCCCTAACAATGGACAGATTTCCATCGGAAATGCGACATGTCTTGGCACTCAATTCTGCCAATTCGGTTGCCAGCTCTCTCAGAAGGCTAAACGACTTACACACATGTGTGTTTTCGTCAGGCATCCTCTCTAAAGGGTTTTTAAAGTCACCAACTTCTCCTGCGCTGCCTCTCTCTTCTTTTCACTACAGGCTACAAATTCAAAATGGTAACTGTCACCTATTCGCACATTTGACCGTATGTTCCTGACCCAGAGAATCGTCCATTGTCATTAATCCGATTAGTTATTTGCCATTGTCGATAACCTCCATGCGATCCTCTGCTTGAGCATTCCAGCCGAGCTTGATCCCCTTTTGGACTGCTTACGCGTCGGCGTGTTCAACCGCACGACTGTCCTCTCAGTTGGTGAATTGTTTTCTTTACAAACTTCTGCAAAAATCTGTCATTAATATTAGTGCTTTTCCCCTTATTCAGCAGTTTGTATTCCAACCTTCGAAAACCACCTACTACCAGTTCCGCAGTTACGAGGTCCAATGTGTTTTATGTCCCGTATGCTCGCCGCGGACTCTTCTGTGTTCCATGAACCCTGGCAACTGTCGTTGACTCACTTGCAGATCGCGGACACGAAGTTTAAACAAATGAAGCGACTTGGGATTATCAGACCGCTTGACAGCTACTAGGCGTCCACTCCTCCTCCCCCTCCTCAGAAGACATCAGGTGAATGAAGAACATCCAGCTACTACTGGGAACTCAACAACTTCACCATCCCTGATTAGTACCCAGTACGCCATCACGAATACTTCGTCGGAGCCCTAAACGCAGTGTGATTTTTTGAAGACTGGCATGGTGCATGCCTTTCGTTAGATACCTATCGTCCGGGACTGCAATTCAAAAAGTGCTGTTAATGTTCGTCTTAACTTTACTGACTTCACCCGTTTGTCCCCAGCTTTTGATATGCCACCCAGACGTTCCCGAAATTCATCGGAAGCGCATAAATAACAGCAATGGCAATAAATAATAATAGCATTAATTGCCAGGTTACAAGCATTGTCAAAATCTATGTGCAATGATCGAGCAAGCAGTCAAAAATCTCTTGAGCTCCAAGACTGCTAATTTGGATTAAGGTACTTAAGGTTATTCAGGAGGAGATACTGTGCACCCTAAAATGATGAGATCTCTACCTCTAACTCCGGAGTTAGAGGTAGAGATCTCATGACCCTATTTATGTACAGTGCTTTCGCAGATTCGTTCTCAAAAATAAAATTACAGGCATTTACAATGTGATCGGGTCACACTTCAGTCGCAATCATAAGGTAGTGCATAAGGCCACTGTAAATTAGTGCGAAGGGATTGTATATGACAGTTTTTTTTTACAAAAGTGGCTGTACGTAGTCAGATTGTAAAAGCCGATTTCTGTCGAGCAAGCTTTCTTTTAAACATGCAAATTGTGTCGGCCGTCACCATCTCGTTGGAAGCGAGTTCCACGGCGGACAAACCGCTGGCTAAATGAAATTTTCGACGGTCTAACCGCGTACGCTGATTACTGACTTTGTAGGCGTGGACGCGTAGTTGGTTTCCAGTCTGCATTTCTCGTCATGGAATTGACAATCTGCCCCAGCCATAGCTGCATAGGTAAACAGCTGCCGCCGTCAGTAGAAAAAATGTCCAGGCGGGTAGATGTCTGCAGAGTCAGTGCGATGGCTCGCGGAGGCAGAGACCACGAAGTCCATCACTACGGACAATGAGTTAAATAAATAAATAAATAAATTTTTTATTTAATGCCAGTTTACAGGCATTGACATCCATTGTACGTCTAGATTGTTGAATTCTTGATGGCTGGGCAGAATGCTTTAGAACACAAGGTTCATCTAGCCTTGGTATGTCACC